CTGGAACTAAATCCCAAATCCACGTCTCAGGGAAATACTTCCGGATTGTCTCCACTGGGCCATGAATGAGATTTTCCATCATGCCACCAACTAAGGTATTTGCATCATATATGAGCCCCGCTTTAGATGTTGGAGGAGGTAAGGGAGAGAAAGGTGATATGTTAGACCCCATTCTATATCATGGCACTTTGTTTCCAGTTAGTGACAGATTGGATTCTAAACCCTAGATTTGAAACCCCCTCTTTTCAAATTCAGACCCAAACTTAAACCTATCTTTGCTTGCAACCAATCACTCCCTTCCCCAACCCACTCTCCCAATGTCATCAGCTGTCTTTTCTGAACTTCTTTAGAAGCCATTGAAAAAACATCTCTATTGCCCTATTATGAGCTCAGCACTGTCTGTTTTCTAAAGACTTCTGCACTTCTTATAGGGGTGGTATGGATGAATGAACATGTTTATTCCAACTCCACCAATCATGGAGGATATGGGAAGCCCAGACATAATAACTGCATTGAAGCAGCCCTCAGAGCCCTGCCTATATCCACTTCAAATGGAATTAACCAGTGGAACTCACTGCCCCAAGTCATTATAGATGCAAATAGTTCAGTGAGTTTCACAGAAAAAAATCCTGTGTCTGTATATAACTAAGAGTAGCAGCAACACTAGTGACACCAGCTAGGATTCAGATGATCCAGGATATCAGTCCTCGTGCTTCAGGGCATAAGCTGATATCCAGCCATAGATCAGGAAGAAATTTGCCCCATAGCACAGTGAGGTGTAATACAGAGGTTTTCCATCTTCCTCTGAAGCAGCCACCATTGGCCACTGTCTGAAGAGGGACCTTGCGCTAGAAAGATGACAGTGCTGATCCAATATGGTCAGGAGGCAGGACACTGCCATATATAGACCAGTAGTGAAACCTACAGTAGGAATGGGGACATTGGATTAGAGGGTCAGTAATCTGATCTGGTTACTCTTCATTTTCACTAGTTAATTGAGAGCATAATTAACACTAACATTTAGCCATCTAATCTCAGAGCTCTTCACAAGGTTGTGTAAGTATAATTAGTCCCCTTTTACAGATAGGAATATTAAGGCACAAAGAAGTGAAATGATTCATCCAAGGTCAAGTTGATGGGAGAGCTGAGAATGTAGTAAGATTTCCTGCTTCCGAATCCTAAACTCTCCCCCTGGGTTCACACTCCCTCCCCATTGAACCTGTCTCTCTTTCTGCTTAGTTTTTTTCTCTAGCACTTGCTGGAAGGTGAAAACCTGGAAGTGGAAATTGTCCTGTTCCAGGTTGAGAGAGCTGCAACCAAAGTCAACAAGATTTAGCAGCTGTTTTTTGCCAGTGCACCAAATCTACATTAGGAGGTGCAAGGTGCCACTGCATCAGTGTAGTTACAACAATGCATATTTCCTTAGCTGGTGGAAGGTTAGCAAGCAGGTGGAGCAAGCAGGTGGAAATGGACCAGATTCCTATTTCAGGACTGACGTTAGTGGATTTCGGCCACCATAGCTGAGAACAGAGTCTGGTCGAATTGGTCTAATTTCCATGCAGAGGAGAGGGTGAAAGGGAGGGGAGCAGGAAACGCACCTAACGGGGGGGTATAAGCAGGGTAAAACAAAGCAGGCTCTTTTACCGCCAATACCAGCCACCTCAGGTACATATGTTCTACTGTACATTCTCTCCATGCAGAGTCTGGGCTTCTGGACCTTGGTGCTGGTGAAGACTTTTAAACCCATCGCCTGTAAAAAGATAACCCAGACAGCCATGTGGTAAAGTAAACCATACGTCAGGAGATAAACGTGCCGTCTGGACTGGATCGGGTTCTGAAGCACTTATCACAGTGCAGGGATGGGTCATTGCAATAGCAGATACTAAGGCCTGAGAGGTCAATGCCAGTGTGGCTGGTGGGAAGGGAAGGGCGAGGTCTATGTCAGTGAAAGGCGCCGGACCAGCAGCTGGAGACGGACATCCTCTCTGTCCTCAGAGCAGGTTCATCAGAGGCATGAGCAGTGCAAGCTTCCACTGTGTACTCAGCCCCTGCCGGCTTGCCTCGGCCCTGCCCTGGAGGGAGTTCAGTCTCTCTGGCCCAGTCCATCCCCTGCCTCTCTGCTGAGATGCCTAGCAGTCATTGTCAGGTGTGCTGGGGTTTGGGTGATTTGGGAGCGAGCCTCACTGGGAACAAACCTGAAATCCCGTAGGACACCAAACCCTCACTAGCTGGGGCTGGGTAATTACCCTGGGTGCTGGCTCAGAGCAGCACTCCGCACATGTGTGCATGTGTGTGTGTGTGTGTGTGTGTGTGTGTAGATAAAATGGAGACTGGCACTTCACAGAGATCTACGTAGACGGGATAGAGAGCGTGTGGGACAGGATCTCTTTGACAAAATGGCTGCAGACGCGGAGTTGCCCATTTCTGGGCGCTATTTCTTTGCCCCAGCTGTTAGGACGTCTTCTTGTCGTGTTTAAATTAATGATGGGGAAAGAGGCATTCAGTTCCCAAAGCTAGGGTGTTCCCATCTGGGGTTTTCTGACCCAGCTTTCGTTATTACCTCGAATGTACTGGCTAACATGCACCCAGCTCAGCCAGCATCCGGTGAGGAAATCTTCTGAACTAGCAGCGATTTAGCTCACTAAAGGGAGACGTGGCACTCACCTTGAGAACGTTGTAGGCGTCCCCTTCGCCGTCAGGAGAAATGGGTCCATAGATGAATCCGTTTATAATGACGTTGTCGAGTTTCACACAAGGGTTATTGTCTTCTTCCTCCAAATGGTGCTCTCGGTAATTATAACCCCTGATCTCCTTCACTGGGAGCAAATTATACACCTGCGGGGACACGCCTTGATGTCAGTGACCACAGGCCCAATAATAATAAACCAGCGTGTGCCACCCTAGTGATCACAGACAGCTTTAAACTAACACACATGTGTGTGCAATCCCAGTTACCAAGGTTGACCCTACAATAACAAACCCTACAGTAACAGAGCAGAATGTCTGACTCCAAGGCTCAGCACTGACTTTTCCATAATAACCCAGTGTGTGCTGACCAGTGCTCACCAGTGGCCCTCCAGTAATAAATCAGTATGTGTGGTTGTG